ATTTAACTTTTATATATGGAGATGCACACACCAAAAAAGAAATATAAATTGTTCCTGGTTTCTCTTCCCTTGAAGGGTTGAATGTCAAAAGCTATTATGAGAATTAGAGAACTGTGCTAAATATACAGAATGGGTGCCCGGGAGCTATATTTTATTAGGATTCAGATTTATACTTTGATAAAAATCATGTTTGTACTCTGTTTCAAGGATGAATTATGCTATTTTTTTATGCTAATATATTAATTTGGCCAATTAGTGGGGAAAAACAACAAGGTAAATACTCTTTTATTTCCATAAATTATTGTGAGCATTTTGAGCTAGTCCAGACATGAAGCACACAAAGAATATTATCTTTATCTTTACTGCAAGGTTTCATTAGAAGAATTTTTCAAGTCTGAAAGAACATCTCTTCCTCCCTCGTCTTTACAATTCAAGAAACTATGGAGGCTTTGTTCTGAGATCTTTGGCAGAGCCCATTCCTTCTATGTTGCTGTTCTCCGGACATAGTTTAGTTTGTGGCTCTTTCTCCTGTCTTCCAAGGTCATTCCCACATACCATTATATAACTATAGAGCATATTCCTCCAATGGTAGATGAAGAAACATGTATCTAGAACAGTACAAGCTTCAGAGGTCTTTGTTGTTTATAATCTTAAAGAGGTTTAATAGAAATCTTGTCTCCTTTTACTGAACTGAGAGAAAGTGTAGTATTTAATTTTAATCATAAATGTGTGCATATTTGGTATCAGATTTATGGGTGTGTGAATTTGTGTATAATTATGGAAATACATATTTTTTTAATCAGAAAAGTTAAGATGAAATGGAAAGAGAGGTGAAATACAAGGATTATTAGATTAAAGAGGATAATTTAAATATTTTTTCTGGATTTGTGTTTCTATAGTGTTTCTGTTGGGAAAGCTCTTAATCTGTTCCAATAAATAACTCTATTGCAACCAGTGAAGATTTGATCTAAACTTCCTAACATCTCATTATTATCAGACTGTCAACATATTTTGTTCAGTTGACAGAGGGTATTCTGCACACAGAAGCATAGCAGTTTGTAAAATCATGGTTAATGGATTAACACGGCGGTCCCCAACCCCCGGTCCGTGGACTGGCACCAGTCTGCGGCATGCCAGAAACCAGGCTGCTCCAACAAATGAAGCCTCATCCGTAAAACCAGGTCCCCTCCGGTCCACAGAAAAACCTCTCCTCATGGAACCAGTCCTTAGTGCCCAAAAAGTTAGAGCCGCTGGATTAACATTGAGTGGACTCAGCCAATTGTCATTTATTCTAATAGTAATAGATGTGACCTGCAAATTCCTCTGCTTTGCTTTTGTCATTCATTCAGATTCAATTCAAGGCAAATTTGTGGAAGACTCTTTAAAGTACAGTTTTAAATATGTACTAGTGTTCAGGCACTCACTATATAGATAGATTGAAAGTTAAAATCCAAGTTAATTAACTTGGAGAATCCCCTAGACAGAAATTTCTGAAATCATAAAATCAATGATTAATTATTTTTTGATTGAATTGCCCTAGAGCAGTGATGGCGAACCTTTTCAGCACCGAGTGCCCAAACTTTGTTTCTGACATGTGCATGCATGCTGGCCAGCTGGTCACACACGCCGGAGCACGGAAACCCGAAGACTAGGTGGCTGAAGCGCGCATGTGCACTGGCCAGCTGGTCTTCAGGTTTCCGGGGCTCCGGCATGTGCAAAGATCAGGTGGCCGGCGTGCATGCACATGCCAGAAACAGAAGAGCAGCTTTTGTTGCATGCCCACAGAGATGGCTCTATGTGCCATCTCTGGCATGTGTGCCATAGGTTTGCGCTCACGGCCCTAGAAACATCTGCTCTGAAACTTCTGAATGAAAGTACCATAAACAAAATTTTAGAAACAAAGACTGGAACTATTCAATATACATACATCTTCAAAATGTGAGATAACATTAGCATTGGCTTAACTCTAGTTTGTCTACAAGAGAGGCAAACTCAAGCACTGGTAGTGTATCCTTGAACCTGGTTGGAGATCTAAAACAGACTACAGCCTATCTATTTTAAGAATGTTGGATATTCTAACATAGGAGCTACTTTCCTGATATATAATATTTATGAATAATACAAAGGTAATTATTGCTTTGAATATAGGATTCTGACAGCTTACCTACCATCTCAGTATTTGGGAAACTGTTTTGTTTATTTATTTCTATATCAAATGCATAAACCACACATCTCTGGGTAACGTACAATTAAGCCATAAAAACTATGTATGTATGTATGTATGTATGTATGTATGTGTGTATGTATGTATGTATGTATGTATGTATGTATGTATCTATCTATCTATC